GAAAGAGTAATCCTACAAGTTTTGATGGGAACATGTCCTGTCACACTTTGAAAGTGGGTCCCGCCGCAGGAGTCACGTGGACAAAACAAACATTTTAAAGTTTCAGAATAATCATAAAAGTCTGGACGAGTTCTGTGAGAGTTAAATAAGTAGGTCCTATTACAGGGCCAAGTGGATCTTATCTAGTGGGACTAGTGTTGGAAGTATGGGTCGACAGGCCTTTCCGAAGCCTGAATTTTTCAGGCATGATGGGCAGGGCTATTGAAGCACTAGGGTGGGCTTAGGCTCGAGCTGCCCAAGAAACGGCCACACGGCGAAGCTCGCTGTCGATTTGCCTCCTTTGACTGTCGACTGCCGTTTTTTTATTTTTTTTAAATTTTTTTCAGCCGGCCCGAATTGTCTGAAGCCCGAGCCCGTGTAGTGGCTAGTTTTTTAAAATTTTGCGCCCGACCCGACCTACCACCCGAAAGCCTGACCTACAACTTTTTTTTTTCTTTTTTTACCGTTGCATGATTTTTCGGCCCGAACCCGACCCACCGAGACAAAAAATGAAAAAATGACCGTTGGATCCGAATTTGGGAGAAAAAAAAATCAATTTTTAACCCAAAAATTTCCCTATAAATAGCCCCCATCCCCCGTACATTTTCCTTACCCTGACTCTCTCAATCTCTCTCAATCTCTCTTAATTTATCTCAATCTCTCTTAATCTCTCAAATCTCTCTCATAATTTTTCTAAAAACTATCACAATATCCTAAAGCTCCCTCTCTCTCAAATTACTCTTAGTTTTTATAATGGATTCTTTTAGTTATGGTGGTATTCCTGTTGATGCCTAACAGAACGTAGAAAAATGGTAATTTCCTACTAATGAATTTATTACGCAAGTAACTGAGGAACCTGCAAATTCGAGCCGTGGTGGACGTACTGGAGGTCGTGGTCACAATGGTGGTGGGCATGGAGGAGAGGTGAGTGCAAATGCTAATGCGTCTACAAGTGTTGCAACCTCCAAGATGAAATGCAAATGCACGTCGACTCGGCACAACACACTTGAGAAGACACTCTGAAAAGTGTCTTCAAAAGTGTGGCCAAACAAGCGGAGCCGAACTTCGCCAAACACAATTATCTTTTGATCGCACAACCGGTGGTCTAACCACTCGAAAATGTGACGACCCTCCTGGGTGGCCGTCACCGTAACTGAAATTAACTTTTACTTACTGGGATTTCTTAAAAATTACGGAACATTT